TCAGTTGAAGCGTTGGAGTAGAAGCTTCACATTGTTTCCTTTGATTGCATTCCCTCCATAGATCATACAGAGATGTTTAGAAAGCATATCTAAGCAGAAACAAATCAAGTTTATCCCCTCCTTGACTTGAAAGCAGTTGCAGAATAACACCCCACTGATTGGTATACCGTGTGGTGAGAAGTCTTTGAGTTATACCTTTCCAAACTTCTTCAGATACCGTGCATTGAAAGAACAAATGGTCCCTCGTCTGCAAATGAGTATCGCAGAGTCCGCAAGAGCTAGGCAACTGCGAATTCCATGACTGATATTTGTCTCCTGTCGTGAGCCTGTCGAGCGTAGCAAGCCATGCCACGAAGGAGTACTTTGGCGTATTGTAAGAGCGTATTTTAATTTTTTTAAATTTATTATATGTAATAGATTTCATATCCAAATATTCAAACTAAACCAATTTATATGTTAATTTTAAGTATTTTGACATATGTTATTCAAATTTATATGTAATATTTTATTTTGGTTATAGATTTTGAGAAATTTAAAATATATATTAAATTTTTGAAAATTTCAAAATAATTTAATGGGTTATCCGAACCTGAACCAAAATCGCAAAGATTCAAACCGAACCAAAATTTAGAAATACCCAAACGGGCTAAAATCTTTAAACCCAAAAACTCAAAACCCGAATAGACCCGAACCGAACCCGAATGAGTACCCGAACGCCCACCCCAGGTATATATACGTATGTACTTCATTTGCAAAATCCATATCGCCGTGGCTCTGTCTTTCTTTTTTGTTTTTGCTAAGTGGCTCTGTCTTTCCCTATCTGGAACAACTTGAGCTACGTACATGTTCTCCAGGATGGGCTAATCTTCTTGCTTCTATACTCAATGACCCTCCAAGACTCCAATCTCTCACGCTTAAGATTAAGTCGGTATGTAGTATTGACTTTTTATTTTACTAGCATGTTAGATTTGTAACAATGGATAGTTCCTAAAAAGGCCGAACACTAACGCCCGTAATGTTTTTTTTTTGGTCTTAGAATCATTGTGCCCCTTTTAATGATCCGATGAACCGAGAACGTTTGGAACGAGCCATAAGTTGTTCGTGAATGTTTATTGATGAATCTGGCGATCTCTGAATGGAGACAATATGAAGACACAGTGCAGCAGAGGAAAGTGGCTGCGTATATACTAGCAAATGCTCTTTGGCTAAAGATGGCCACATTTTCAACCAGATGTAGAGACAAAGATCATGAGATGCGCATGCAGATAAAGAAACTGAACAGAGAGTCAGAGACATGTCAGTTAGTGTTTGAGTAAACACTCTTATGTATTATGTATGTCTGTCTGTAGAAGACAGAAAAGTTTCTTAGGTGTTTTCTTCCTTTTTTTTACCTGACTTTATTTTTGATGTTTGTGTGTTATTTCCAGTATCTTCTTTATATTGTTAAAAAAGTCAGTCTTTGATTAATGTGTGAAATGTGCACACTCTTTTTAGTGAGGGGCAATCGAGGACTCAATCAGTACTGAGTCAGGTTCATTCGGGTTTGGGTTTTTGAGTTCATGCATTTTGTCCCAATTCGAATATTATAAAATTTCAGGTCGGTTCTAGTTCAGATTTGTTTGGTTTAGATTTAGTCGGGTTCAGTTCGGATTAAGTTACATATTCGATAACTTATTAAACCCCAATAGTTCCGGTTTCAGATACTAATCGAGTTATCGTTTGCAAAATCATTAATTTGTACTTTGATTCTCAATATAATTCATTTTTTTCATAAACTTGTGTACGTGGCTTTTTCAAACCATATTGTTATCCATCAAAATAATTTAGTAGACTCGTCTATCAACCATACGAGTATTTGAGTTAATTATTCATGCAATAAATAATTATTTCATATACTCATTAACATCTGAATGTATTTTGGATACATATTTGGATGTTATAGAATTTGGTACAATTTCTTTCTCTTTTTAGGATTTTGAATTTAAGTTTTTTCGAATATCTATTGCGATTTTGGTTCAGGTAAAAACTCATAGTCTGAAATACCGTAAAAGAAGATTCATTTGGTATTTATGTCAGATTCAGATCGGTTTGGATTCATTTTTATTGAGTCAGGTCAGATTCTCTGATTTGGTTTATTTATCCAACCTTAATTTTTTTTTTTTGCATCTCAAGAAGTAACTCAGAACAAAGATATTTGTAGAAGTAAGATTATAAAATAGATGGAAATTTTCCAGATTTTAGTAATATGAAATATTTATCACCCTAGTGCAAAGTAATGTTAAAGACTAGTCTTGGGCATAAAAACGGTACCGAAAAACCCAAAATCGAGACCGGACCGAAACTCTGCCATACCCTAATGGTTCCTATATATTTATATCTGAACAACTGAGCCTGAGCTGAAGCCGAACCGAGAAACGAACTGGTAACCAAATATCTGAAAATAAGTTTAAACATTTTAATATAAGGTAAACTGGCATCAAACCTACTCGAATCCAGGTTGGGAATAACGAGGGAGAACATTTTCCACCAGACCATGTTATCTTTTATTTTCTTTCTTATATTATAAATATATATGGTATTTCTATATTCAAATACAAGAAATATTTATTAAAATTAACACTAGCTTTAGTGACTCAAACTCTTATTGGATTGACGAATATGCAAGAGTATAACACACTAGACTATTTAAATTAACATGTTAGCTAATATATTTTGTATATATACATATTTGATTCACATATAAACATGTACCTGGATATAGAGAGCGCAGTCAAAAAAAATGGTGAGACAGAAGGTCAAAGAGTTACCAGATGACCTAATCTTCAAGATACTCTCAAAGCTTCCTTTTTTAAAGAGAGGTTTGCAACACGTCTCATATCAAAACGGCACAAGGAACCTTGGAAAATTGTGCCATACGTCAAGCTCGAAGAGCGTTACGAGAAGAGTAGCGTGAATTTCATGAGTTTTGTTTACAGATTGTTGTTTTCTGACGATTCTCCAACTCTTGAGAGATTACATCTCAGACTTAACAGAAAATATTCTGCTTCAGACATCAATTTTTGGTTTCAACTGGCGGAATCAATCAAAAGTCTTCACCTTTCATCTGTTAGAGTCTGGAGTGATGAATATATTGCAACGCTTTTAAAAAGGTGTGCAGCTCTTGAAGAATTGGTTATAACTCTGAACCAGATATGACAATGTGAGTTTATATCATATCAATGGGCGGACCCCAGTGCATTAGAGGGTATGGCATGTGCCCCACCCTAATTTTTCTTTTGTTCATTGACATTTAGTATTAAGTTTATTTAAGTACATGTATATTAAGCTTTTACTTATAGAAATGGTTATGTGCCCCATACTAAACACCATCTTGAATCCGCCCCTGCAGTGACAATGTGCCTACTTTGAAGAGCAAAATTATTAATAACTCAAGAGAGAAACACCCCAACGAAAACAAGAAGATTCATGGGTTATGGATAAATTCACCTGCTTTGGAGACAATTAACATCAAGGATACAGTAAGTAACTTTCTTATGCTTAAGTTTATGCTAGAGGTGACCAGATCAAATATCGAGGTTACTTGTGTCCAATCTGGGAAGTTCATTGGATCGCTTACCTCAATCCAACATGTTTCTCTCTGTTCTCCAATTTCAGAGGTAAAAACCCAATTTATTACCCTAGTAATGTCAAGAATGTTTCTCCTATGTTTGTTATTCTCAGTATATATTAGGGCTTGACAAAAAATCTGAATCCGAAGAACCGAAACGAACCCGATCCAAAAAGTAGTAACGAATCCAAACTGAAACTAATTAAATATCTGAATGGGTTCAAAATTTTTTGTATTTATAGAACTGAAACCAAACCCGACCCGAACTGAAGTATTTCGGGTATCCGAATGTATCTGAAATAGATTTATATACCTATATATATTACTTATTTTTGGATTTAATGTATATTAGAAACATGCAAAATATATAAAATACTTTTAAGTTAACCCAACTACTTGAAAATATATACAAATAGTCAAAACTAAATATCTAAAATAGCTAAAATATACTCAAACACACAAAAATTACTTGAAATCTATTGATTTCTTTTTCTTTTTTGAAAGAAGCTAAATTAATTTAAACAAAAAAAAGTTTTTACATTTACTGCTTCATTGAATTTAGATTTGTATTGTAAAAACTTCTAAAAACTTTAAGTCTCTATCTTGTGCCCAGCCATCTTGCCAGCCCCCTCTCATAGTCATGGCCGTATCTCCCTCGGAAGACTGCGAGCCTGTTGCGAACCCTTTTATCAACCATTAGGGTCAGTTGAAGCGTTGGAGTAGAAGCTTCACCATGTTTCCTTTGATTACGTTCCCTCCATAGATCATACAGAGTTGTTTGGAAAGCATATCTAAGCAGAAACAGATCAAGTTTATCCCCTCCTTGACTTGAAAACAGTTGCAGAATAACACCCCACTGATTGGTATACCGTGTGGTGAGAAGTCTTTGCGTTATACCTTTCCAAACTTCTTCATATACCATGCACTGAAAGAAAAAATGGTCCCTCGTCTGCAAATGAGTATCGCAGAGTCCGCAAGAGCTCGGCAACTGCGAATTCCATGACTGATATTTGTCTCCTGTCGTGACCTGTTGGCGTATTGTAAGAGCGTATTTTAATTTTTTAAAAATTTATTACATGTAATAGATTTCATATCCAAATATTCAAACTAAACCAATTTATATATTAATTTTAAGTATTTTGACATATGTTATTCAAACTTATATGTAATATTTTATTTTGGTTATAGATTTTGAGAAATTTAAAATATAGATTAAATTTTAAAAAATTTTAAAATAATTTAATGGGTTATCCGAACCTGAACCAAACTCGCAAAATTCAAACCGAACCAAAATTTAGAAATACCCAAACGGGCTAAAATCTTTAAACCCAAAAACTCAAAACCCGAATAGACCCGAACCGAACCCGAACGCCCACCCCAGGTATATATACGTATGTACTTCATTTGCAAAATCCATATCGCCGTGGCTCTGTCTTTCTTTTTTTTTTTTTCTAAGTGGCTCTGTCTTTCCCTATCTGGAACATCTTGAGCTATGTACATGTTCTCCAGGATGGGCTAATCTTCTTGCTTCTATACTCAATGATGCTCCAAGACTCCAATCTCTCACGCTTAAGATTAAGTCGGTATGTAGTATTGACTTTTTATTTTACTAGCATGTTAGATTTGTAACGATGGATAGTTCTTAAAAAGGCCGAACACTAACGCCTGTAATGTTTTTTTTTTTGGTCTCAGAATCATAGTGCCCCTTTTAATGATCCAATGAACCGTGAACGTTTGGAACGAGCCAGAAGTTGTTCCTGAATGTTTATTGATGAATCTGGCGATCTTTGAATGGAGACAATATGAAGACACAGTGCAGCAGAGGAAAGTGGCTGCGTATATACTAGCAAATGCTCTTTGGCTAAAGATGGCCACATTTTCAACAAGATGTAGAGACATAGATCATGAGATGGGCATGCAGATAAATAAACTGAACAGAGAGTCAGAGACATGTCAGTTAGTGTTTAAGTAAACACTCTTATGTATTATGTATGTCTGTAGAAGACAGAAAAGTTTCTTAGGTGTTTTCTTCCTTTTTTTACCTGACTTTATTTTTGATGCTTGTGTGTTCTTTCCAGTATCTTCTTTATATTGTTAAAAAAAGCCAGTCTTTGATTAATGTGTGAAAATGTGCACACTCTTTTTAGTGATGGGCAATCGGGGACTTAATCAGTACCGAGTCAGGTTCATTCGGGTTTGGGTTTTTGAGTTCATGCATTTTGCCCCCATTCGAATATTATAAAATTTCAGGTCGGATCTGGTTCAGATTTGTTCGGTTTAGATTTAGTCTGGTTTGGTTTGGGTTAAGTTACATGTTTGATAACTGGTTAAACCTCAATAATTCCGGTTTCAGATATTAATCGAGTTATCGTTTACAAAATCATTAATTTGTAATTTGATTCTCAATATAATTCAATTTTTTCCATAAACTTTGTGTACGTGGCTTTTTCAAACCATATTGTTATCCATCAAAATAATATAGTAGACTCGTCTATCAACCATACGAGTATTTGAGTTAATTATTCATGCAATAAATAATTATTTCATATACTCATTAACATCTGAATGTATTTTGGATACATATTTGGATGTTATGGAATTTGGTACAATTTATATCTCTTTTTGGGATTTTGAATTTCAAGTTTTCTCGAATATCTATTGAGATTCGGGTTCTGGTAAAAACTCATAGTCTGTAATACCGTAAAACAAGATTCATTTGGTATTTATGTCAGATTCAGATCGGTTTGGATTTATTTTTATCGAGTCAGGTCAGATTTTCGAATTTTGTTTATTTTTCCAACCTTAATTTTTTTTTTGCATCTCAAGAAGTAACTCAGAACAAATATATTTGTAGAAGTAAGATTATAAAATAGATGGAAATTTTCCAGATTTAAGTAAATATGAAATATTTATCACCCTAATGGAGAGTAATGTTAAAGACTAGTCTTGGGCATAAAAACGGAACCGAAAAACCCAAAATCAAGACCGGACCGAAACTCTGCCATACCCTAATGGTTCCTATATATTTATATCTGAACAACCAAGCCCGAGCTGAAACCGAACTGGTAACTAAATATCTGAAAATAAGTTTAAACATTTTAATATAAGGTAAACTGGCATCAAACCTACTCGAATCCAGGTTGGGCATAACGAGGGAGAACATTTTCCACCAGACCATGTTATCTTTTATTTGCTTTCTTATATTATAAATATATATGGTATTTTTATATTCAAATACAAGAAATATTTATTAAATATAACACTAGCTTTAGTGACTCAAAATCTTATTGGATTGACGAATATGCAAGAATATAACACACTAGACTATTTAAATTAACATGTTAGCTATAATATTTGTATATATACATATTTTATTCACATATAAACAGGTACCCGGATATAGAGAGCGCAGTCAAAAAAATGGTGAGACAGAAGGTCAAAGAGTTACCAGATGACCTAATCTTGAAGATACTCTCAAAGCTTCCTTTTTTAAAGAGAGCTTTGCAACACGTCTCATATCAAAACGGTACAAGGAACCTTGGGAACTTGTGCCATACGTCAAGCTCGAAGAGCATTACGAGAAGAGTCGCGAGAATTTCATGAGTTTTTTTACAGATTTTTGTTGTCTGACGATTCTCCAACTCTAGAGAGATTGCATCTCAGGCTTAACAGAAAATATTCTGCTTCAAACATCAATTTTTGGGTTCAACTGGCGGGATCAATCAAAATTCTTCACCTTTCATCTGTTGGAGTCTGGAGTGATGAATATATTGCAACGCTTTTAAAAAGGTGTGCACCTCTTGAAGAATTGGTTATAATTCGGACCAGATATGACAATGTGAGGTTATATCATATAATGGGCGGACCCCAATGCATTAGAGGGTGTGGCATGTGCCCCACCCTAAGTTTTCTTTTGTTCATTGAGATTTAGTGTTAAGTTTATTTAAGTACATGTATATTAAGATTTTACTTATAGAAATGGTTATGTGCCCCATACTAAACACCATCTTGGATCCGCCCCTGCAGTGACAATGTTCCTACTTTGAAGAGCATAACTATTAATAACTCAAGAGAGAAACACCCCAACGACAACAAGGAGATTCATGGGTTTTGGATAAATTCACCTGCTTTGGAGACATTAAACATCAAGGATACAGTCAGTAACTTTCTTATGCTTAAGTTTATGCTAGAGGTGACCAGAGCAAATATAGAGGTTACTTGTGTCCAATCTGGGAAGTTCATTGGATCTCTTACCTCAATCCAACATGTTTCTCTCTGTTCTCCAATTTCAGAGGTAAGAACCCAATTTATTACCCCAGTAATGTCAAGAATGTTTCTCCTATGTTTGTTATTCTCAGTATATATTAGGGCTGGACAAAAAATCTGAATCCGAAGAACCGAACCGGACCGGATCCAAAAAGTAGTAACGAATCCGAACTGAAATTAATTAAATATCCAAACGGGTTCAAAATTTTGGTATTTATAGAACTGAATCCCACCCGAACCGAAGTATTTCGGGTATCCGAATGTATCTGAAATAGATTTATATACCTAAATATATTACTTATTTTTAGATTTAATGTATATTAGAAACATGTAAAATATATAAAATAATTTTAAGTTAACCCAACTACTTGAAAATATATACAAATAGTCAAAACTAAATATCTAAAATAGCTAAAATATACTGAAACACACAAAAATTACTTGAAATCTATTGATTTCTTTTTTTTTTTGAAGGAAGTTAAATTGATTCAAACAAAAAAAACGTTTTTACATTTACTGCTTCATTGAATTTAGATTTGTATTGTAAAAACTTATAAAAACTCTAAGTCTCTATCTTGTGCCCAGCCATCTTGCCAGCCCCCTCTCATAGTCATGGCCGTATCTCCCTCGGAATACTGCGAGCCTGTTGCGAACCCTTTTATCAACCATTTGGGTCAGTTGAAGCGTTGGAGTAGAAGCTTCACCATGTTTCCTTTGATTGTGTTCCCTTTATAGAGCATACAGAGTTGTTTGGAAAGCATATCTAAGCAGAAACAGATTAAGTTTATCCCCTCCTTGACTTGAAAGCAGTTGCAGAATAACACCCCACTGATTGGTATACCGTGTGGTGAGAAGTCTTTGCGTTATACCTTTCCAAACTTCTTCAGATACCGTGCATTGAAAGAACAAATGGTCCCTAGTCTGAAAATGAGTATCGCAGAGTCCGCAAGAGTTCGGCAACTGCGAATTCCATGACTGATATTTGTCTCCTGTCGTGAGCCTGTCGAGCGTAGTAAGCCATGCCATGAAAGAGTACTTTGGCGTATTGTAAGAGCGTAATTTAAATTTTTTAAATTTATTATATGTAATAGATTTCATATCCAAATATTCAAACTAAACCAATTTATATGTTAATTTTAAGTATTTTGACATATGTTATTCAAATTTATATGTAATATTTTATTTTGGTTATAGATTTTGAGAAATTTAAAATATATAATAAATTTTAAATAATTTAATGGGTTATCCAAACCTGAACCAAACTCGCAAATATTCGAACCGAACCAACATTTAGAAATACCCAAACGGGGCTAAAATCTTTAAACCCAAAAACTCAAAATCCGAATAGACCCGAACCAAACCCGAGTGGGTACCCAAACGCCCATCCCAGGTATATATATGTATGTACTTCATTTGCAAAATCCATATCACCGTGGCTCTGTCTTTCTTTCTTTTTTTTTTTTTTTTGGCTAAGTGGCTCTGTCTTTCCCTATCTGGAACATCTTGAGCTATGTACATGTTCTCCAGGATGGGCTTATCTTCTTGCTTCTATACTCAATGACGCTCCAAGACTCCAATCTCTCACGCTTAAGATTAAGTCGGTATGTAGTATTGACTTTTTAGTTTACTAGCATGTTAGATTTGTAACGATGGATAGTTCCTAAAAAGGCCAAACACTAACGCTCGTAATGTTTTTTTTTTGGTCTCAGAATCATAGTGCCCCTTTTAATGATCCGATGAACCGTGAACGTTTGGAACGAGCCAGAAGTTGTTCATGAATGTTTATTGATGAATCTGGCGATCTTTGAATGGAGACAGTATGAAGACGCAGTGCAGAGGAAAGTGGCTGTGTATATACTAGCAAACGCTATTTGGCAAAAGATGGAAAAATTTTCAACAAGTAGAGACTAAGATCATGGCATGCTCATGCAGATAAAGACACTGAATCAAGCGAGGACGGCCTAGTGGTCTTGAGGGAGCTTTGGCCTCAATATGGACCCGGATTCGAATCCCGTTGGTCACTGGGGATAAAATTTAAAACTTTGGGCTCTCCCAGCATCCGGTGACCAAGGCGTATTCCGGCTGATAACGTAGGCTGATACGGACATTCACCTCTAGTCTAGATCCACCTTGGTGGGTGCATGATACACTGGGTAATTCAAAAAAATAAAAAAATAAAGACACTGGACATATTTTCGGAGACATCAGATATGTCAGATAGTTTTTAAGTAAACTCTTTATAATGGTATACTAGGTATTTTGTCCGCACTTGCGGGCATAATTCCCTTATGAATATTTATGAGTTGATATTTTATTCATTTAGAAATTAGCATAATAAGTTTATACAAATATTTTACATATTTATAATTATAATTTTTTTATATCTTAATTTTAAATTTTATAATAGAAAACATATTTTCAAGATAACAATATATTTCATAAGTTATTTATTTTCTAAAAATATAATATGATAAATTTGTTTTGATTATATAATAATTATATAAGCTTATAGAAATTATGACATATAAGTAAAATTACCTAAAATCATGGAGAACTTAATGAATCAGCAAATTCAATTCTTAAATATTTTTTCTTGAGTGATGATTTATATTTAATTACTAATAGATAATTTTTCTATTTTACTTTTAAATTATATAATATAAAAATATATTTTCTAGATAACAACATAATACATAAGAATTACCTTATTTTCTAAAAGTGTAATATTATTTGTGTAAATTTATTTCAGTTATAGAATAACTACAACTTTTTATATCTTGATTTTAAATTTCTAATAGAAAATTATATTTTTAAGACAGAGACTTAATATATAAGAAGTATATTATTTTCTAACAATTTGATACTATTAATATAATTTTTTTTAAATATATAATAAATTATATACAAAAATATAGAATTGTGATAAATTATCACAATTAACTAAAATTATGGAAAATATGACAAATCAACAAACATCAAATTCACTTCGTAAATAATATTATAGATGTTTTATATGTTAATTTTAAATTTTATAATAGAAAAATATTTTTTCAAGATAACATCATAAGAATTAACTTATTTTCTAAATATCATATTATTAATATAATTTAGGTTTAATTATATAATCAATAATAAACAAAATTATAGCAATTCTGATAAATGATAAAAATTACCTAGGATCATGAAGACAAATCAACAAATTCATTTTTCAAATAATTGTTTTGATGATTTATATTTAATTATTAATAATATAATTTTTATATCTTAATTTTAAGTTTTATAATAGGAAGATATGCTTTTAACATAACAACATAATACATAATGATTATCTTATTTTATAAAATATTAAATTATTAATATAAATAGGTTTTCATTATATTTAAATAAAATTATTAATATACATTTGTTTTAGATAAACATAATAGTGTTTATATCTTAACTTAGAATTTAATTTTTATGATTAAAAATATATTTCAAGATAACAACAGAATTCACAAGAATTATCTTATTTTCAAAAAATATGATAAAGTCATATAAATTCATTTTATTTATAAATAAAATATATATAGATATTAAAAATAAGACATATAAACAAAATTACCTAAACTTATGGAGAACATGACAAGTAAGCAAATATACTTCTTAAATAATAGTATAGATCTATGTCTCTAGAAGACAGAAGATTATTTGGTTTCTTCTTCCTTTTTCTCCGACTCTACTTTTGATGTTTGTGGATTTTTTCTCGTATCTTCTTTATACAAGGATAAGACCTGCGCAATTAAAATATAAAATTTTAGTATTGAAAAATTCAAAATTTATATACAATTGTTTTTATATGTATTTGAAATTTTAGAATTTTAGAGTATTTTATATAATTATCTATATGTAGGATCTGGAATAATTGTAATTAGAACTGTAGATCAAAGTTTAGAATTTAATTGACCCGATTTCATATATCTTTTCACTTTTCAGTGTTCGAGTGATGGAAAATAAACGGAGTGTCACTGGGCTTGATTGGTAAAGTGTTATCAGTTCCCTAATGCTTTATTAAGAAGCAATTGATAAAATATTTTCATTTAAAATATATAAAGTTTCAAAACTAATTTAATATAGTTTATTTATTTATCTAATAATATTAGGAAATTATATTTTTTACAAAGTATTTAAAAATAATAATTTTATCAAAAAAATTAAGTTAAATGTTAAATTATTTTTAAAAACAATGATTTTATATGAGTATGTTTTTGTTGATGTCAAAAAAGCAATATTTTAAGTTTTTCAAATACAAATAAACAATTTAAAATTAATCATGGTCACGATTTAACATAACCATAATGATTTAAAAATTAATTTTTTTTTAAAAAATAACAAATTAAAAATTAACTCAGTTTTATATCATGATTTAACAATTTAAAAATTAATTATGGTCATGAAAATTTTACGTTCACGTGTCAATCCTATTCATCTTCATTTTTTTCTCTTCTTGTATTTTTTAATTTTGGTTATTACTCAATATAAATATTTATTTTGAAGTTTATTCTCATTTGGTTTGTTTGTTTTGACCTGGGAATTAGAAAATACTTCAGATTTAAAATAATTAAAGAGATACATACTTAGGTTAAGATCTGCACTTTATGCACAATAAGTATTTTATATTTATTATTTATTTTATATTTTCTGCATATTATAAAATAATAAATATATCAGGCCTGGCATTTTACCCGGATCCTAAGACCCGACCCGGAACCGACCCGAAAAAGTGTGGTTCGGGTAAGAACCGAACCGATCATTTTACCCTATTGGGTCTTGATGTGGAGGACCCGCGGATCTTGGATCCGACCCGACCCGAACCCGAGACCCGATAGGGTACCCAAAATATTTATAACTTCTAGTATATATTATGTACATACATGTGTTTTAGTATATTTTATGGTATTATGAGTATTAATTTATGTTTCGGATTTGGGTTTTCAGATATTTTTGAGTTTTAAGTAAAATTTTAGGTTTTTTAAAATATAATTCGAATAATCAAATAAAATTTTGGATATTTATATGCCTTCGGTTAGATTTTAGATAAAATTTCGAGTATTTTTTTGGGTATTTAAATATTTTCCTGTATTTTTGTGTTTTTAGGTATTTTTGGGCCAGACCCGTGAGGATCCGAACCTGACCCGAAACCGAACCGAATCCAAACCGATAAATTATAATTACCCCATTGGGTCCAACTATATAAGACTCGAACCGACCCGGACTCGGTAGGACCCGAACCGAACCCAAACCAACAAAGTCTAATTATCCTATTGGGTCTAAATATCTAAGACTCGAAGGACCCGGACCCGACATGACCCGCCCAAACCCGACCCGAGGACTCGAATGCCCAGGCCTAAAATATATATATATATATTAAATAACTAGGTAATCAGTTACTATTATGTAATAAATTGACGTATGCATATAAATTTAATTATCACTCTTGTTTATTCGTAAATAGGGTAAATAAATCAAAATAATCAATCTTATATATTGTATATGATATATAATTAAATTTAAATAATATAAACATAGTAATATAGCACAAATTTAATATGGATATTTATTAAATGAGGTTTCTACTCATATGATTTTATGATTATTTACATATTTGTGTAACAAAACTTTACACCAACGATTTTTTTTTTAATGTGAGATGTTTAGTAGTTTCAATAATTTATAATCATTTAAAAAAACAATGACATATTTCAAAATTAAAATATTAATTTTTCAATATATGTTCAATGCAAATATCAAAATATAAGTATATATTTCATACGATGTATAGTTTAATTTAAACGATATGAAATATATATAAACTAAAACTATTTCTTCATATGGCCTTATAATCACTATATTTTAATATAGAAAAAAATTAAAAATTTGATCCTAAAAGTTTATATGAGACTTTTAATAGTTTTAGTAATTTATACTCATTTTGAAAAATTCGAAATACAACATACACAAAAAAATCTAGATTTTTATTATTTGATTAATGTAATTGTGTAATTTATTTTAATAATAAGGAAATAAAAAATGATAAAACGTATACATATTGTTATCAAATCTTTATTGTTTAAAATAATTAATTGTCATATATATATTTTAATCACATTAGGTAATTCCGTAGGTTTTATTTAAGGAAAGCATGCGAAACAATAAATATTTGATATATGCGACCAACTATAGCCTACGAAATATTATGTTGACCAACTATAGCCTACGAAATATTATGTTGCTAGAGAGTATAATTTTTAGACTATATATTATATTACATGCTCTAGAATCATTCTAAATTGAAATAGAAGACAAAGAGTTATGTCACATAGAATTGGAGTTATTTTTAATTATTACAAACTTAAGGTTATAATTTTTTAAATAATTATGTTTTAATATATAGGGGATTGTGAAAAAGCCAATCTTTGATTAATGTTAGAAAAAGTGCACACTCTTTATGCATCTCAAAATGTACTGAGAACAAAGACATTCGTAGAATTAATATCACAAACTAGATGGGACGTTCGCAAAGATTTTGTAGTATGTATATATGAAATATTTATGACGTTGTGCAAAAGTGTATTCACTTCTTTATTGCACCAATCAAAAACTTTCATAAACTAGCAGAAAAAGAAAGAAGCAAATACACAGAAATTAGAAATTATACAAAAGCATGCATAAGAAAATGTAAAATAATACAACACACGGTCTTTGTTCCTATGGGTCGTTGAATCAGGTCAGACAATGCTGAGGAACCATCTTTCCACGTGCAGAACCGTCAACATTCTCACATACCGCAGTGGAAGGACCAGCCTCGACTCCCTTATGCTCCAGGTTAATGTCAATTAGCTCAACCTTTTTGCACGGAAAGCTCTTGCTACATTGTAGATTCACCGCCACTTTGTTTGTCGATGTTCCATATATGTTCTTTAATTTAAGGTCTTGGATTTGAACGTGTGACTCTCCCTGAAGAAATTAATGAAAACACAACTTTTTTTTCTTTTGTTGTAATAAGATAAAATACTTATATAAGTTTGTATCTTGCATAGAGAGTTCACCTTCTTTTCACAAGGTGGGTAAGGACAATACTTCTGGTCGATGATGATAGGGTTTCCAACGTTAATCATTTGAATATTCTCGTACACAAAGTTAGAGACCAAAATCTTCGAAGCTGAAGATTCCCAAGTCTTGATCCTAATATCATCGCTAGTACCGTTAAAGACTATGTCTCTTACGGTTAAACCATTAACGTTCTTCTCTTCTTTGTTCTTTCCCTAAGCTTCCGACACTGATCCCATGTCCGGGACCACAATAAACATTAGTGAAAGTTCAGAGACACGTAAATAAGAACCGTACACAATTTATTTAAGAACACTTCTTGTATATTAGAAACCTTTTAAACAATCTTCCTAGATCTGTTTAATCCGATTTAAGCTCAGTCACACACGACTAGCGACGGACCAGTTCCTAATCTCTAAGATACAGAAACTCAAGCCAAACCCCTGTTTTCTCGATCTATTTAGCCGACAAGAACAACTCTCTTGCTCTAGGCATGAAAAAAGGCAATATTCTACTTCCTAAAATATCGCCAACCAGAAGATCTTCTTTGCTTCGCACCCAAGCAATATCTTCTATTTCCATAAGTTTGTGCCACGTCATTACACGTACCAAACTTATTGCACTGTGTTACACAATCATCGCACTGTGTAACACACTCTCATCTTAAACGGAACAAGCTCACAATCCTTGAGTTTACATTCTCCCCCTTTTTATCTGAATGTGACAACCTACTCAACCTGTTCCAACAAAGCTCAAAAATGCAGGACAAAACTCTATATCAATCATATCAATTAGTCTCCTATAAAGCCGATAATAGGAGAAACCCTAAACAAGACACATTAATAGATCAAAGAGTGCACAAACAGATTAAACCAAACACAACAACACAAAGCAACATCTTAACAACAACTACAGAGTTCCATGACCAGAACAACTTTGTTGTGTGTACTGTAGGTATTCTCCCCCTGAGTAGATGCACATTAAGATAAAAACTCAAGGTTAGGTACTCATATAGTTCAAGGAATTTCTACAAGTACTACACCCTTATTCCTCAAGCGAATTATGAAAACAATGAGTGTAAAGCACAAAGTCTGATGTGTTATGCACACATGTAACCAGGAGCACAGACTTCACTTACATTCGTGTAAGAGTGCAGAGGTCATGTGAATTGTGATATGAGCCAGTCCTGTAGAGCAACCAGAATATACACATAGGGCATCGATGGACATGATGCCTGCATCCCGGGGGTAAAGTCACTGAAGAACGATTTATCCACACATCTAGCTACCAAAACTTTTTAATGAAATCAATGAGTCAACCCAAGTCTGTAGCTCTTTCTCAGCCGAGTAGCTGTCACAAACGAGATTCTGCAGCATTCAGTCCACAAACTCAGCTCTGTTCTCTCACTCATCTGTATGGTCTAGAAACACATGTTAGGCTTCTTGTGTGTCTATCTCTCCAACTCACAGACTTCCAGTTGTTTATCACCAGGCGATTAATACACAACTCAAATTCTAGGAAAGTGATGAAATTCAGAGGCAAAGTGGGGTAACACCCAGCTCCAAAACATTTATCCAATGAGATTGGTAACACACCTACCTAGTCAAGACAGTGATCGAAAAAGAGGCAAAGTGGTGTAACACCCAGCTCCAAAACGAGTATCTATCACTCCAGGCCTTTTTTTTTTTTTGAGTAACATACTTCTTCTTTGATCAGGTTACTCCACGAATCTTACCTCTGACCAGTATCTTGTGTGACACCTTTTTCAAGTGATGTAACACTCATCCCCTGATGTGTTTCTTCATTCAATCCAGACAGTGATCAATGCTCAGACGTGAAATGGGGTAACATCCCAGTCCAAGACGAGTGCCTTTCACCAGAGAATCAGATGAGTGAAATAGCAGAGTTAAGTAGCAGAACCTTACACTGTAGAACTTGTTGAAACAAGGTGTTAATGAGGGGGTACCATCGAAGCATGAAGTCCAGCAATTTTTACAGTGACTCTTCCCCCTTCTTCAGGACTTAATCAGAGTTCCATGATTCCCAACGCCTTTCTAAGACTCAGAAAGGTGTTGTGATCCAACGGTTTGGTAAAGAGATATGCAAGTTGTTTCTCAGTTGGGACATGCTCTAATATCACAATCCTCATTTCCACTAACTCTCGCACAAAGTGATGTCTGATATCCACGTGTTTAGTACGTGAATGCTGAACTGGATTTTTAGACAGATTTATGGCACTCATGTTATCACAATGAACAAGCATAGGAGCAGAGGTGATACCGTAATCGACAAGCATTTGT